GGACGTTCCCTTAGCGAGAGCATTTGAAGTCAGTTGCCCAGTTTCCATTAGTGCCTCTGCAGACTGTTTACATCAGTATAACTCACGGGGAGGAGCTGCACCGTTCGAACTGTGCCAGTGTGGCTAAAATGGCACGGCTGTTGTGTGTAGACAGCGCCCACCTCGATTAGGCTAACCAATAGCGGTAGCGCTCTAACCGTACCAGCCTAGTTAAAGCAATACAAAGCCCTAATGCTGATGCAGTAATACTGGTGCATCCCTATTTATTATCTCTATTGTATGATCTGTATTTAGACTATAAGGTCTTTGAGACAGGATCATTTATTAGGTGTATTACAGTAGCCCCTGGGAGCCCCAGGGCCCCATTATGCTAGGTGGTGTAGGTACACAGAGGTGTGATGGCAACTCCCTCCCCGGGACCCTGGGTGGGGGGTGCGGGGCTGGATGTGGGGCGTAGAGGCGGGAACAGGGCTGGACATGGGGGGGGGAGTTCCGGTTTTGGTGTGCCTGCGTCAAACCTGCAACTTTAATAATAAACTGGGCCCACCACTTTCTGACACAGCCGTGTACGCAGCCGCTTGCTGGTTTAATGTCCATTTAAAGACCAGTCTTAAATTATACTGGTGCAGCGTTCACGTGGAGACAAGCCCTCAGGAGCTGGTTTAAGCGGAACCAGAATAACCCCACCCTGAAACTGAAGTAGGGGATTGCACCAGTCTTACTAAGGCCACGTCCACACTGAAAATGCTGCAGCTGCTCCGCTTTACCGCTTCAGTGTAGACGCTACCGTGATGAGAGGGGTTCTCCCATCGCTGTAGTTCATCCACCCCCCCGAGGGGCAGTACCTAGGTTGACGGAAAAATTCTTCTGTTGACTTAGCTACTGCCTCTTGGGGAGGTGGATTGCCTACCACGATGGGAGAACCTCTCCTCTTGATGTAGGTAGTGTTTACTCTGAAGCACTGCTGCTGTAGTGTTTCAAGTGTAGACAAGCCCTGAATTAAACCAGGGTAGCTCTCTTGTATAGACCTGTCAAGCAGAGCAGAGTTGGGGCTTTCCTGGCCTGTGACCATAATAAATAATATCCAGGATGGAAAGGAAATGCATTTTTCCCAAATAAATAATAATAAATAATCCCCAGTGCTTTTCATCGGTGGCTCTCAAAGCACTAATCATTTAAGGGAAGGGACTTTTTCTTTTTTCTTTTTCTTTTTTTGAACGGAAAGAGGGTGTTCTTTTAAGAACAGTCAAGTCCATGAATTTTTTTTTGGTTGGTTGGTTTGTTTATAGAAAGTTCAGAAAATATCCACCGAGACACTCGACCGTCACAAACTGCCAGGAAGAATGGATTGGAAACATCGGACAGCGCTGTCAAAACCCAGGCCCAGGTGAGAAAACGTTGGGTGGTGGGGAGAAACCTTCCCACCGTGACTAGGGCCCTCCTCCCCTAAGAGCTGAAAGGCTGGTATGGTCAGCCCCTGCTTGGAATTCGGCTTACTATTAATCTAAGGAAGAGTGGGGTCTAGTGGTTAGAGCAGGGGGGCACTGGGAGCCAGG